TCTTATTGTAGAAAAATCTGCGTGAGCACTAGCACAAAAGTGGTTCTGTGATCGATAAATGTTTTTTGAATATTTATGAGGCAATAATTTATGAGGGCTATCTATATTTTCATAAAGAGAAAGCCAGAGTTGATATTGGGGGAGCAATAAAACAAAAACGAAAAGCCAGGAATATTCATTTGCATAACGTCAGGATTTGCTTATTGTGTTATTGTAACACTTTGTACCAGAGGCTATGACATAAGACATTTGCTTATTATGGCACAAAAAAAACTTTTTTTCAAACCCTTTAAAAAGAAAAACTGGTATAAAACAAAAAGATTTTGATGAAACCATTGTTCAAAAAATTAAAAGGATTTTAATCTTTAAGGTTTCCGTGGGAAGGGGTTAATTTAATCCTAACAAAGGTAAGGTTTTTGGTTAGAAAAAAAACTTAAGAAAAAGGGGTTTTTTCCCAAAAATCATTTAAAAAAACCAAAAAAAAAAAGTCAAAATTTTTTAAAAAAATTTAAAAAAGTTTGAAAAGGGAAAACGTTAAACATGTAGAAACCAATGGGTTTTTAATTAAAGTTCAGATTAAAAAATTTTCCCCTTAAAAGAATTTAAAAAGAAAAATCTTTACTTTTTCAAGAACAAAATTTAAATTAAGGTATACCATAAAACGTAACTTTGCAAGAGCCAACCATTGATTACCATAAGCTAGCAGAGCCTAGTTCCATGTATTGACTAGGAATCTCGCATTCAACAACTGTCTGTTACAAGAATCTCTCATTGAGAAACGTTTCAAGATCCCACTAGTCTGTGTACACAAATCATAAAACCGCCCATCCGTTTTACAAGTTTTCCATCGACCCGTTTTTATTTAGCAATAATCTACATACTGTGTATGAAGGCAATACTCCCCTTATTAATTGAAACATGTCAAATTAAGCTGTTTTAGTTCAGCTCTTTTCCAATAAAAAGTTCGATTTGTCGTGCATGGCTTGGGCGTACGACTTTGAAACATCTCCCAAGAGATGATGCTCTATAGACTTTGGCGTAGATGCTTGACGTTTGTCAAGGTTCGGATGTAACATGAAGTTTGATATCAAAAATCTATATATCAACGGTGTACTACAAACATGTATATTTCATTCTTACATATGATATTCAATCATTTATTTTCAAACAGTTAATTGATTAAATTTGTTTTATTCTCGGTCATAAAATATCAATGCAAGCAGGATTCTGTTTGAAAACTGACACCGACAGTGCACCTTTGTCTGTGTGTTTTAAGAGGTATACAGAATAGGTGCAATATACATCTTCAGTTACAGAATATATGAAAAACAGTGATCACTCTGAAAATTGCAGACTCGGTTTGATTGGGTTTGCACATGAGGTAACATGATCAAGTGCATCATCCGCCAGCCCCCTTGCACAGGCTTGCGCGTTACTCAATTTTCAACACTTAATATGCTGCGAAGGAAATTGAAATAATTGATATAATATAAATAAAAATCATATCAATTAGAAATCATTGCAATGATATTGTTGAGATTTGATGGTGAAATACAAGTTATGCAAACCATAGAAACAAATAAGTTAGAGGTTGATATTCAAACTTTTCACCAACGTGTTCATAAATCACAACATAAACATTCATTGACAGAGATGGTTAAGATTGTGAAGTTTAATCAAGGCATCAACTATTTTTTTCTGGACTTTATATTTCATTAGTTGTATTCTCATTTTTGTTCTAACGATCATTCTTTTATATTTGATAGCTCTTGAATACCAATTTTAAACTATGATAAATAGGCTTTAGAAAAGTCAGTATCACCTTGGACAGTTTTATCTCTTTAAACAGACTCAGTTAGTTAAAACGCATTTTCTTTTGTTTTAATTTCTTCTTTAGTTTCATTAATAGGTAAATGCAATTAGCGTAAACTTTTAGTGTTCAAGAAAATGAGATTCCATTTTAATAATGACTGTAGAATGCAAATTATGTATTTGAAAGTTATTTTTCATGTTTTATCAAAATTGTTTAATACTTCTTGTAATCTTTAAAAGCCCTACTTTCCGAAATGTCTCAAAATGATGTAAAGAAAATATCACAACTCCTTAAAAAACTTTTTAAACCGCTTTGAATAATGATTTCAGATAAACTTTGTTATGTACAGAGTATTCAATAATAGGTAAAGGACATTTTGGATGACACCTCAAACAAACATTTCGCGGGGTAGGAAACATGAGCTTTTATGAACCAAGTGCCCACAAATGGACGTTGGGAGACGTCGACCTTAGTATATCACAGTGTAAACACACACTTCGTAACTGTATCCTCAACACTACTTCACTACAGTTGATTTATATTTGATTTTGTTATTATATTAATTGATTTTTCCGCATAATGAGGATTGTCCGACGAGATACCCTTCATTTATATTCAGAAACACTTATAATATGAAACACTAACGTTAATTGGTAAGGCTTAGATCGTTTTAACGTCATAGTGGCGGCATTTTAACTTTTATAGTAAACACTCTATACCAGACACAGCTTTTCACGTCCTTAAACATTTTTGTTTCAAAACATTTCTTTTAGAGCAGCGTTAAATTACTCTTAAGCATTTGATAACAGGATATTTAAATTTTTAATACGAATTAAACAAATCGATAGAAATGCCATCAATACAATATATGTGTCATGCGTTTTTGCTTATTTAGTTTCTGATTCTATAGATATAAAACGTTAATTAATTAAAACTACATGTAATTTCATTATTAGAAATGATAATGTTCAAAGTGTTTTTCCCTTGTAAAAATGTATAATGGTATTTCGATATGATCATATCAATATTACACTGCACGTTATTAGAATTCTTTTTGATATATATCACTACGCGATAAAATAGTTCATGCCAATTTTGCATGATTAATTGACATTGGTTAACGAGTGTTTTCAAACAATTGATTTTCACAGAATGGGGATAGTTGCTCGGCCTCTTTTATTTGTATCTGGTTTTCCAGCAGCTGCATGTAATTACAATTGATCGAATTCACTATCAATTACAGTGAAAGTCATTTTGTTACGTGTAACCGTGAAAATATACACTGTAATTGGAACACAATGTCAGAAGCTAGCAGAATTAGCTCGGGAAATCATGCACTCAACCTATAGAACACGTGAATTATCCAATTTTCCCGATTAAATACACGTTTACAATCACTATATGTTTCAATTTTGGGGACTTTATACGCATATTTAATCAAATATTGATTTAGTTTTGTAAAAACAAAACCCAAATGAATGGCGTATCAATAGCATGCACATATCACCAGCAGAAAACATCAAACACCGAATTTTTGGCGATTTTCTTTTCTTTTTAATTTGCACCATGTTAACGTGATATTTAAAATTAATTATGATTTGAACATTACAGACTGGATCAATAAGACACGACAAAGTCAAACCTTGTTTGATTCTTTCCTTATTCCCATTTTCGTGGCGAAATAGCGAACATGATATGGCATTTATACAAAATACAAATTGAAAAAGACATTTTAAAATTGAGCATATGATGATCCAAAGAATAGCAAACGTCTTGGCCTCATTATATGTAAAGTACCATTGCCAACTTTTTTAATGAACATTTCTTATTTATTTTAAAATAACTATTTGCACCATTCTAATTGAATTCCCATGTCAGAGCGAGATAATTTCTTTAAACTGGTTTATGATACTGGCTGATCTCATCTGACAACCGCTTGCAGTAAAGATATGTGTTATATTGAAGACGTTGCTCTACTCAAACATGCCAAAATAAGCGCTGATAACCTGTTCAATAAAAAGGGGATTAGCTGGTAATCCTACTCAACTGCAGAGAAGATAGCTGTCTATTTTGAATAACTTTCTAAGGCTTGAACAGCAGATAAATGGCTTATTAATATAATCAAAATTATCAAATGCGTTAGTAATTTAGATATATGTAATCGGGAGTTTAACAAACTGTTCGGCGTTGTCAGAAGCTTAGAGAGTATCTAGTCCAGATTAAACTCTTATTGTGATTGGACCGGGGGTCTGGCATGGTAATTGGTCACCAGGCTTGGTATTTTATCTAAAGGATAGGTTACGACAAATTGGGAAGTCAGTGGCTGGTCTCAAAACATGTCGTGTAAAGTGGACGGGGTCGAAAGTCCAAGTTAATGATATTATCAGTGGAGTTTTAAGTTGTTTTTCTGTTATTTTGATATTTTAATAGTTTTGAGTACTTTATCTCGACAGCTAGTTAAACTTTCCGTCACGTTTTCAGCTATATGTAGATCATGTTTAGCATGTATTAAGCTCTAGTTTTTATACATTTTCATTTAAAGGACTTTTTTTTATCTTTTAATAAAATTTCAGCCTTCCTCTTAAATATATATTTGGTCAAAATGGTTTAAATGTTCAAATTGCTATTAAGAACATGTGTGTAATTAAAGTTCATAAGCGACTGTATAATGATAAATATAAAAACATCAGAAGAGTGTTTCTAAACCATAAAGGTTTTTGCATAAACACACGTAGTGTTTAGTACATAGAAATAGGATTAAACATTTCTGATAAGACAACTGACTGACTACAGTTCTGTTTGATGTCATTTATTAGATACTAGTACATACCAATATTTAAAACAAAATGAAAGTAGACCTTCCGATCGATAAAGAATGATCTATAACTTGAAATAACAGTTACATTAAATAGAGAAAAACGAAATCCCTAAAGAACGCTCAAAACGACAAAATTAAAAATTTTGCAGGCTCTGTTTGATTGAGCCTATCACTGGCCTTTACAAAATTCAACATAAGCAGCACTCACAACAAAGACAAAACAAAACACTGACACAACCACCAACAACAAAGATTATACTTAGAAAACAACAACAATTTTTTTCTTTTACCTTACCTTTGTATAACCTAGTATAAGACCATTATCTTCTTTGCACGTTTTATTAACCATTATATTAATGTCTGTTTCAGGTTGCCATTAAAATCATTGATACCCGGAAGATAAAGGAAGATTATACTCGGAATAACCTGCACAGGGAGGCTCGGATACTCGGTCAAATACGGCACCCACATATCATCCGCCTGTATGAGACACTTAAGGTAATGTCTTGAAAACATTATATAGTTACTTTATAGTATGATTTAGGTAGACAATCTTTGTGTTTTATACACGTCTTTAATAGTTTCTTCTTCTTGCACAAATTATTGACTATGTGACTAAATAACGCAAAAACTCAAGCTGTTTGTTTTGTGAGTCACTTGTCTGTAAGAATGTGATACTCAGTTTTGGACTTCCCCCATAACAATGTTAATGTTACATATAACAATGCTAAATACTGCTGTATTTATGTATGACCTGGTTCAAATTAAAATGGGCCAGTAGATTTTTATATTTCAGTTTTTATAACATTTCAAACACATGACGTCATGATTTACAAAATATTAACATATCTAAATATTTTAAAGGGCATAAGGTATGGATGATGACTAATAGCTCGATTCTTTGCGTTATTTAGATCAACTGCAGTAATTAGCTAACGTAGCTCTGTTTCAGGGCCTTTGCGTCAACGAGACATGAGCTTAATTTAATCTGGTTAACGGATGTTTTGTGATACGTGTCTTAAAATCTATGTTCATTTCTTGATTACTGGAAAGCAGAGTGAATGTTTGTAGGTTAACAATCAGTTTGAGTTAATTAATGACACAATAGTATCTTCTTACAGACATCAAGGATCGTGGTTCTTTTACATCTTACTAATTGTATTAGGTTTTTCATTTCAATGCATTGCATCTTCAATTACGTTATTGCTGTCATGCATACGGTGCTACTTCTTGCATAATATGTGAGAGAGAAAAAAACAACAAGAAAAACGAAGCAGTCAAGGCATATTCATTTAAATGAAAAACACCTTAATTTGTTAGACAATACCATATGACTGTTCTTCCCTGAAATAATGCACGGAGGGACAACTTCCTCAACCAGTAAAGCAGAAAAGACCACATTGTGACATTTACATTGTCGTAGTGACTCAAAATACAACAAAACAAACATGACTGATACTCCTAATTATAGCAAAAAGAATAGACGGTATTTTGCATTATTGTAACTTTATTCTTCCACATTAATTATTCCATATGGACTTTAATCAATTATCATCCTTTTATATCTGATTCTCTAAAATTAGAAGCATTGTTAAAGGATAAGGGATTGGAACAAATGCTTTGTAACGTATTGAATACTTAATATTTTATTGGCTTGAATTATATGATATCTAAAATACAAACGTGAATTATAAAATAATAATTGAAACAGTTTAATATTGTCAATAAAATATCATTGATAGTTTCAAACACAATGCTTATTAGCAGTATAGGATCAAGTTTCATAAGCATTCAGAGATAGTTAATCTTAAAACAGATTTCAGGATGAGCTAGTGAAATCAGAAACAAACGAAAATAGAGGGCATATTCGATGCTAATAAATCTACCAACGAGTGTGATGATACAGCAGAATTACGATGTTGAAGAGTTTTGCACTGTTTGTAATCATTCGCAATCTCATTACATGAAGTTAATTCATACAATATTCATCAGCTTGCTGAAAACAATCAGTAATATCGTAAAATAAGAATCGTGTAACTTAGTATTTTAAATTGGGTGGTGATGTGAAACAAGCTGCAAAGGCCTTGTCATTCAAAAAGGTTTCATAACATGAGTTTAAATTTAAAAAGAACAAAAAAAAGGCTGCTAGTTTGTTCATTCTAAGATGTAGCTAAAAAAAGAATAATATAAAGTTTACTTTTCATATCCACTATAGATTTTTAATTCTATCAATAATAAAACAAGCAGTATTTAAATGGGTTCATAACAAAAACAAAAACAGAAAAACAGAAAGAAAACAAAACGACAACAAAAAGAAAAAAACCCACAACAAAAAACTTATTATGTACCATTTAATTATCAAGCGACCTTGTCATTAGCCCTTGACCTCTTAACTGCTCTGAATGTACTTGTCCAACCTCCATTCTATAACAGAACACTATCACAATAAAGCAATATGACGATGGAAATTTGGAATTTGATCAACTAACAGTTTTAAGAAAGTTCAGACTGTACCGGTGCTTAGACTGGTTTAGTTCTATAAAGGTGTCAAAGATTATTCATTGACGATTCCGATGTCATGGTACAAGATTCACCTTTGTGTATCCCTAAACGTGAATTCATAAAATGCTATTTTATCCAAATGCAGTCTGTTTTCTGGTTATTATACATGTAAAAAGAATATAATTATGTATATGTTGCATCCCTTCATCTAGTGCTATTTAGAATACCTGCACACTCATATGAATATCAAAATATCATTCAAAATATAAGTACATACATTTAAACAAATATGCGATTATTTTAACAAACCAACAAATCCTATTGCATACCTTCCTCAGACTTCATTACAAAAAAATGTTGGTATTTTTATAAAGAATCAGGAATAAAACTTGTCATAGTATGTTCAATTGTAAAGACTACAAAAGTAATTTGCAATCTTTAAAAGGGCTATGGTTACTATAAACAGTCTTTTTTTAGACGTTCTTGTATTTCTTTCACAAATCCAATGCCGAAAAAATGCAAATAACTACGATTTTCCGGTGCAGCGTCATGAGAAAAGGGAAGAAGCCAAACAAAATCAATTTCGTGAGGCAAAAGTTGTTGGGGGTTAAGAAATCAAAATTGATTTGTGTAGACCAACATTACAGCTTTTGTTTGATGTATGAAGTAAAAATCTCTTACAGTTAATCAATTGTGATTCCCAGTCTAACAGTATACTGTAGGACAGAAGAGTCTAGTGGAAAATCTAGACTTGTAAATAGTTTCTACACTTAATGATGGACATGCTGAACTCGTGTATTTTTTTAGATTTTTTTAAATATAAGGTTAGCGAATGTGGGGGTCCTTTTTATGTACTTGAACACAATGTTTTCGGACACTATTTTTTCTTCATAAAGCCAAAAACGTATATATATATTAATTCCTCGCATGCATATTTGACAGTAATTTTGTTGTAAAATGAATGATTTAGATTTTCAAAATTACTTTCATTATACTGTTGGCAAAACCTGTCTATTTGACACGTATATTTATCGGTTGCACCAAAACAGCTTAAGTATAATTCAGATACAGTTAGTGTGTCAGATGTATAATGTTGATAGCGGGATATCCACCCACACGCAATATAGATATGTACTAACTTCTTAACACTGAAATGTGTTTTTCTTATAAAACTTCTCTCTCTCTCTTGTCTAAGAAATATACTGACCGATTTATATGCCTTTTTATAATAACAATTCCTCATTCCCCATCACGGACGCAGTTAATTGTTTTTGGCTCGTGTTCTGAACAATTATGGCTGCATCTCTATTTTCGATTTGCCTAAAATGCTGCAATATCACTTAAGCTGATCAGTTTGTGTGTATAAGATTCCCTGTGAGCTCGTCCTCTATAATTTTACGATCATAAAACGCTGAATTCCTCTCTCTCTCTACCTCTCCGCAATTGTTGGCAATCAATAGTTAGAACAATAGTACGGATACATTCGGAAAATTACTCAGAGAAAATTTCATCTTTTAAAATAATATAAAATCGAAACGGTAAAAAGGTTGTTAAGAAGCATAACGAATCGGAAAAAAAGGTTGTTAAGAAGCATAAAGAAATGACATCAAGGCTAATAGCAGTTTTCAAACCACTACGTTTTACTTAAATCATTTAATTGTTTTTTAGTCAGATGAAATTGCTAATAATTGGTTGCTGATAAAAATGTATGTAATTGTTTAAGATTCCCAAGTACTTAAGGCTATTGATACTGAGTTAAGAAATAACGACGGACGATTCTACGTTTGAATTATTTATTTTTTGTCGGATTTATATTAGAAACAAAAAGCATAAAGATTTCAATAAAAATAATTGTCTTAATTATGTTTTGTTTTGGGCTTAATTAGTTTTATAATTTACATCTTCTATCAAGAATAAAGAGAACGTAACACGGAAGCGGTCCTTTTTACAACATTATTTAATTTGCACAATATGACACCAATTAAACACTAATTTATGATGTCCCACCTTGATAAAAGGGCCATGAAATGTGAATGTCAGTAACAATTTGATTTCATATTGTTCAGTATATTAATCATTTACAGTGATGTCATATTATATATAAAGATCTTAGTTCTTTTCTTCTTTATTTTTATATAAGATTCACCAGTTTCGCACAAATTATTTTAAGTCATAATTGTAAAGGCAATTATATGTTGTATTTTACCAAGAAATTTCGTATCATATCAATTGCAAGTAGCTCAAGATATTGGAATATCTTTAAAGAATACCTGACAACTTTGAAACATTCTGTAAAAAATTCAGACAATACGACACACAAGTTTGACGAAAAGTTGTGACATTGTTATTTATTTATGCTATTCCATCTTTGATCTTTTTCTTTTGTAAAACAAAACTACCCCTTTTTGAGAAACGATTTTGTTAAAAACTTGTGGCATTGTTATTTATGTCCTAGATAAAGCTAGTCAATGCTTCTTTTAAATATATCTTCAAACGTACGGTGTTTTTTTTAATATGAAAAAATGTAATGCAAATATTTATAGATAAATGTCAGACTCACTACAGAAAATGATTTTTTGTTTTTGCTTGAGACACAGATTCTATTCTATTCTGGAGACATCGGAGTTGTCACAAACATTTTATATTACCAAGGAAACCTCGAGAGTTGTATCTCACCATGAAATTATGTCAATATTTTGCAAACTTTAAGAAAGCTGAGAATAATTCTTTATTTGCCAAAAATAGACGCCTCTAAATAATAATCAGTTTCTATTAAATAGTGATTAGTTCGATTTCTTTTGCGAGCAGAAAACGGTTCATGTATAGGAAACAAAAAAACTATGAAAAAATAAGGGAAATAAACTCCAAGTACTCATATGCCAAATAAACTGTGTTGTTACATGGTATTGGTACAGAGTGAATTGGAACCTGGATTAATAAGTGTGGCATGTTAACAATAATTTAATATCACGGTATGTGATAATTTGATTTTTCTA